CTGAAAATCCGTGGCGTGTCCGCGCGATTCGGCTAGAAATAAACGATCGAATGGCCGCGTTTGATTAATAGACGGCAAAGTATTAAATGTACAATAGCATAAGTCAAAGTCGTCCTTCGCGTCCGGCAAATTGATAGTTTTATCCGACCGTTGGCAGAAAATAACAAGTGTTCGGATCGTGGAAAACGTATTCTCATTTACCGTGTGAACGATATATACGTATATACGTATAGTATACGTACATACGAATACATAGATTGATAATGTTCGAAAGTAGTTGGTAGTAGATGTTTGTCTCTGGTCTAGGCATTTGTTAACGCCGATGCGTCTGTCCTTTCGGAACAATCCTTTTGCCAAAATGTAATCTATGAGCCGTAATGTATGTTAGAGGCGAATACGAAACCTTATACATCAATGATTTAAGATTTAAGATGGAGAAGAGAATCCGTATCGCGCCAGACACGTCTCGGATCGTTTTTTTTTTTCTTTTTCCCTCGTCGTTGTTCTTCGCGATTTGTTCGATGTTTTATATATATATATATATATATTAATTGTATTATCTTATTAACGGCATTAATTAGCGATCGTGGAATATATAAAATGGTCAAAGAGAGAGAGAATCGGTTGCAACAGATCCGTGCCAGGTGCAGTGGTGCGTTGGTGCAATGGTGCAATTGTGCATATATCCATGGTCAATAATATATTATTAATTCATAAAAAAAAAAGAGGAGCCGAGGTTTTCTTGAATCGATGGAACCTCCGCTTCAGAAAAATCCGACGATCTCGCGCTCGATCTTCGTCGGAACGCTTTCCATTCGAAATTTATTAAAAATAAATATAAATAGGAAGCGAAATTTTTTCCCGCTTCCGATTCATCGAGCGCGAGATGATCGAAGAAGATGAATGTGAATATTGTGCCAATGTGCTAAAAAGTGAAAAGTAATCGAAGTGAGCAGGCAGATAGAGTCGAACGAAGAGATCATGATCGCGAAGAGGATAATTTTAATTTTAATCTCGCTCTTCGTTCGATGTTCATTCGATAAGTACGCGTATCGTAATAATAATTGTGTGATACAAGATAAAAGAAATAACGTGCGAGAAAAAGAAAAAGAACAAATGTGAAAGTGAAAAATAAAATGAAAAAAAAAAAAATAAGTGCATTGGTAGTCGAGTAGTAAGGTTGCAGACGAGGCATTCGCTTTTTTTTTTTTTTCTCTCCATTTCCTCACCTTACGCTCGTCCACCACCTCGCCTGGTCGCAGCTTTCTATTCTCCTATGAATCAAACTCTCCTTTACTAATTTTGTTTGTATCGTTTTTTTCGAAAGATTTCTTTGTATCGTATATATATCGCTCCTCGAACGAATTAATTCCTTTTCTTTAGCTTCGCCCCCCTATTAAATTTACCTATTTATTTTCCACGCATTATACAATTTCTCTCGATGCGCGAGAGAAAGAGAGAAAGGGTTTTGGTAACAAAGGGAAAATGATTTGGTTTCTCAGAAGCTGGGCTGTTTGGACGATTCACGAATAGGATGAGATGCTGTACTAGCATTGCTGACACTAACATCAACGTACACACCCGACACGTAATTTGGTGTCGTGATCAGACAAACACGTCGGGAGTTCACGTGATTTGGACATCTAGCTCTAAGACTATCACGATTGGGATCACTAAATCACTGACGTTGCTACGAAACTGCAAAAAAAAAAAAAAAAAAAAAAAAAAAAAAAAAAAAAAAGAAACCAATACAATTCTAGGACAGTCAGCCGCTGGATCTACCTACGCTTGTATCTATGTGTATTTTTTCTTCGAGCTACCTACGATTGCTTTTTTTTTTACATTATTTTCGAATCTTCATTTTTTTTTCTTTTTTTTTTCCCCTCCACCGGATACTCTCGATCGTCTTTCTTCACCATCGTACGTTTACGTACGTAAACATACGATCGAAAAAGATTTTTTTGAAATCGAGGATCGCGAGTAACCAGTTAGGGTTTACTCGCTGCTCGGGACTAACAATCGATCTGCTCTGTTCCCGTTTAAATCAATCACTATATCGATCCTGTCGCGATGGATTGAAGACACGCCCAATTAAGATCCGCGAATCAAAAATTAAGTAATGAGTAATTGCACGAAAATAGGAGCGAACGCGTTTATTTCTGGAATGGTATTAGACATCGCGGGCTATTAAGAACATTGCTTGGCAATTTGACAAAGGGAGGTTGATTAACGGGTACAATTTCGCGATAAAATTCCATTTTACCATCCAAAAAAAATCCAATATAGCTTCCATGTTTTCCCACCGTTTCTCGAGCCCGGGGCAGATCGATCGCTCGGTCGTTCGAGGCGAGGGAACGGCCGCTAGGGTATCGATTCCTCGAGAGATAGAACGATATCCTTTTCGCAGCGTTCGCAAAAAAAAAAAAAAATGTATAAAAACACTGGATATGTATATATATATATATATATGTGTGTGTGTGTATATATATATATATATGTACATATATACGTATATACACTCTTTTGCAAGAGTAGAAAGAGAATCCTCGTAACATACCTCGTCACTGATGATCAGGCTGGGTCTGCGACCCAATTCCTCGGGCGGAATCAAGGAACCCCGTCGACTGGTTGTGCCGCTACCAGGAATCAACGAACTCTTTCTGCTTCCAGTCGGCGTTACGTCTTTGATCACTTCGATCTTCGGTGTCTCGGGCGCTTTGATTTCTGGCACTTTCGGCTAAATATACATGCGATCAGAGAAATCGATCAATCAATTTTCCATTTTTTTTTTTTTTTTTTTTTAAGGCAATGCGTTTTATGCAGGCAAAGCGTTTCACCCTTGATTCGAAAAATCGAGAAAGAGAAAAAGAAGAAAGAGAAAAAGAAAAGGAAAGAAAGAAACAACACGGGCGAATCGATCGAATTTACCAATTAGTAAATCGAGATTGGGACGTATTCGCGTGGATGGTCGTGACGAGATTAAGTCCGAGTCGAGACTGATCCCTCGAAATCGGTCGGGTGAAATCGAAGCGAAGAGATATGGCGGGCACAAGGCAGGAGGGACGTAATAAGACCAAAAATAGCGAACGACATTTTCTCCATCCTAATTTTCGAGACGAAAAATCAGGGATCCGAGGGGCGTGATATACGAGCCGGTTATTTGCCAAAATATTCCTCCCTCCCCCATCTCTTTGGTTGGTAGGGGAGAGGGGGAGGATTCATCGGTTGCCAAACGGTCACTTTATTCGTTCGATTATTAGCCCTAGCACGTACGATCGTGTCGCGTTAATTAAAAAGCTCGAAAATCGGGTGTCAAAAACCATCGATCGAGGCTTCGAATCCTTCAGAAATCGGCAAGGATTTAACCTTATTCGATTTATTTGGCCATTTAACCCGTTGGAAAAGTTAAAAATTTCGAATAAAGTTTATGCTTGAAAACAAATGATTATTTATTATAAAATGCTCGAATAACATTTATTATAATTATATTATAGCCGATCCGATTTTCATATTAAACCGTTTGCCACTATAATTATTTCCGATTATGATTTGAAGGATTTAAATTATTTTTAAGTGATTTTACTCGTAAGTTCAATTATTAAATTTTGCACATTTTGCATATCGCCGATTTCTTGCATTTTCATCGAAATTAAAAACCGGTGGAAAATCGTCCCCTCGATCGAATTATTCTAGCGCGTCCCATGTTCGAGATTACGAAATTCGAGGAGAGAGGATGCGATGGTATTTAACTAGCGGGGACGTTGCAAAATCTTCTTCTGTATCTGATGCAAAAGCGAAGCGGCAATTTGGCAAAATCGTTTTCTTATTCCCGTATTAATAATAACGATCGATTACTCACCTTGGATTCGAATTTCTGCCCGGCCGCGTGAAAAGAAAATTGATTAGTATCCAGGTACAAAATGACATATTTAAAATATACAACGTACGATCTTACAGTCGAAATTAATAAAAATAAAAGTGAAGGTGATACTAATTTTCCTCGCTTACCTGCGTCGCTGGTCTATCCAGCTTAGTTTTGTCTCGGGCCACGTGCTCCCCGAACTCGAATTCCTGAGGCTTCTCAAGTACAGGCCGCTCGTAATCTGGAATCTCTGGAAGCTCGTAACTCTTCTCCTTGGCCATTTTTCCAATTTTTGTCTTCTTCGCTTCGACCTTCTCAACCTTCTCCGTTTTCTGCACGAACCAATCGAATTTATGATTAACGATATCGAATTTCAATTCGTTCAATTCGAGCTTTGAGGTTAAAGCTGTTTCCATAAAAGGTAGACAGATAGGTGACAGATAGAGCAATTCGATTTTAATGTAGAAAAAAAATTCCAAATCTCAGAAAATAATTTTTTTCTCGTGGAGGAAAATAGCCGAGAGAAGAATTACTTAGAATTTGTTATTGTTTCGATTTTGTTACACGTAGATTTGAGATATTTTGGTATTAAAAGAGAGAGAGAAAGAGAAAGAGAAAGAGAGAGAGAGAGAGAGAAGGGATCAAAGATGGAGAATCTTCGAATTATATTAATTTATATTACGATAATTGTAAATTTGTATTTCCAATTATTATTACAAACACTGAGAAGGAAAAGCACAAATAGTGTTGGATAGAGAAAGGATGAGAAGAATATTGTACAAAATCGAAATTTTGTGAATTTTATAAGCACATAAGAGAGAAGAATTATTCAAAGTGTGTGTGAGAGAAAGAGAGAGAAGAGATCGAAGATGGAGAATTATATTAATTTATATTACGACAATTGTAAATTTGTATTTCCAATTATTATTACAAACACTGAGAAGGAAAAGCACAAATAGTGTTGGATAGAGAAAGGATGAGAAGAATATCGTACAAAATTGAAATTTTGTGAATTTTACAGGCACAGAGAGAAGAATTATTCAAAGTGTGTGTGAGAGAAAGAGAGAGAAGAGATCGAAGATGGAGAATTATATTAATTTATATTACGACAATTGTAAATTTGTATTTCCAATTATTATTACAAACACTGAGAAGGAAAAGCACAAATAGTGTTGGATAGAGAAAGGATGAGAAGAATATCGTACAAAATTGAAATTTTGTGAATTTTACAGGCACAGAGAGAAGAATTATTCAAAGTGTGTGTGAGAGAAAGAGAGAGAGAGAGAGAGAGAATTGTTTCCTAGTTACAGTGAAGATAGAACGATTGTAAATTCGATGATAAATATCCAATATATAATATTAACAGACAAAGAAAAATTGAAGGAAAAGATGTAGAGATGTAGAGATGCGAGAGAAAAAGAGTGCGAAAGAGAAAGAGAATATATATAAATATATATTGAACATATATTTAGAATCCCCTTCACGAGAGAATACCTTCAACTCGATACTGCCGTTTTCAGCTTTTTGAGGTGTTTTAGGATCCCTTGAAACTGGTTTAAGTTGGATAGATTGAAAGTTGTCGGCTTTAATTTCGTATTTCGGTGGTTTGCGTAGTCCAGATTTCTTCTCGTTCGCCACGGCTGCCACTGGCTGCATTTAATCGTATCGTTTATTCGAGAAAAAATTTCAACGAGAACTTGCGAATAACCAGCCCAACAAAGTTATCTCGCAATTACCTACTTTTCTTAATTAACTTACGGAATATTATGATTCGATATGAGAGAAAAAAAAAATCTCACACTCACCTTGAGTTCCACTTTGTTCAGAGTCTTCGCTTCCTCTTCGATCTGTAATTTAAGAAAATTATTTAGAAACGAAGCGATAGAAAGGGATGAAAATTTTATCTCTCGGTTCTTAGTATCCATTAAATTTACCTTTGCTCCAGGCTTGAGACTAAGTTTTCTGGTCTGTTCCTCTTCCTGTAAAAAAAAAACGAAAAAAAAATTCGTTTAAAAAAAAATTGTTCCAATAAATTTCAACAGTTCGATCGATCGATGAAAGAAATTATGCTTCGATGAATTGTTATATTTTTTAACGATTGCTGAAAAAAAAAAATGATTGGATTATGCGAGATGATGGTCTGCTTCAATTTAATCTGCTTCAAAAAAAAAATCTTTATTTAGTTTATGAGATTAAGAAAAATTGAAATAATGAAGTTATATGAAGTGATATACACGCTTGTGCGAATGTATAGATAAATGAGTGCGATAAGTAATAGTGTCATGTTTGTATATGAAATTAACGTTGTGTTATACGCGTGAGTGATTAATTTCGTGTGTACCTTTCGTTCGGGTTTACCAAATGTAACTTTAGGTTTCGGAGCAGGTTCTTCCTTCTAAAAAAAAATCAATTATGTGGCTATTTAGGATCGTATTTTGCGTAAAAATTGTGGTATCTAACTAAGAAAAAAAGGGACGCGATCTTATGTACCTTAGCTTCCTCGGGTTTACCAAGTGTGGTTTTAGGTTTTGGAGCAGGTTCTTCTTTCTAAAAAAAAAAATCAATTGCGTGGCTATTTAAGATCGTGTTTTGGACGTAAAAATTGTGTGTATCTAACTAAGAAAAAAGGGATATGATCTTATGTACCTTAGCTTCTTCAGGTTTAGTAAGTGTGACTTTAGGTTTTGCAAGTTCTTCCTTCTAAAAAAAAAAAAAAAAAAGCAATTCCATGGCTATGGTATAGGATGGTGTTTTGTGTAAAAATTGTGGTATCTAACTAAGAAAAAAAGGGATATAATCTTATGTACCTTAGCCTCTGCAGGTTTAGTAAGTGTGGTCTTAGATTTTGGAACAGATTCTTCCTTCTAAAAAAAAAAATTATGAATTGTGTGGCTATTTAGGATTATGGGTTTTATGTGTGCTATTTTGGATGTATATAAAAATTCTAGTATCTAACTAAGAAAAAAAGGGGCGCCATCTTATGTATACCTTAGCCTCCTCGGGTTTAGCAAGTGTGGTTTTGGGTTTTAAAGCAGGTTCCTCTTTCTAAAAAAAATTATAAATTGTGTGGCTATGTAGGATCGTGTTTTGGATGTATATAAAAATTTTAATATCTAACTAAGAAAAAAAGGGGCGCTATCTTATGTACCTTAGCCTCCTCAGGTTTAGCAAATGGAGTCTTAGGTTTTGGAGCAGGTTCCTCCTTCTAAAAATAAAATCATGAATTGTATGACTATGTAGGATTGTGTTTTGGACGTATGTAAAAATTGTGTGTATCTAGCTAAGAAAAAAAAGGCGCCATCTTGTATACCTTAGACTCCTCGGGTTTAGCAAGTATGGTCTTAGGTTTTGGAGCAGGTTCCTCCTTCTAAAAATAAAATCATGAATTGTGTGGCTATTTAGGATCATGTTTTGCATAAAAATTGTGTGTATCTAACTAAGAAAAAAAGGGGCACCATATTATGTACCTTAACCTCCTCGGGTTTAGCAAGTGTGGTTTTGGGTTTTAAAGCAGGTTCCTCTTTCTAAAAAAAAATTTTCAATTGTGTAGCTATATAGGATCGTGTTTTGGATGTATATAAAAATTGTGGTATCTAACTAAGAAAAAAAGGACACCATCTTATATACCTTAGGCTCCTCGGGTTTAGTAAGTGTGGTTTTAGCTTTTGGAGCAGGTTCCTCTTTCTAAAAAAAAATTTTTAATTGTGTAGCTATGTAGGATCGTGTTTTGGATGTATATAAAAATTGTGGTATCTAACTAAGAAAAAAAGGACACCATTTTATGTACCTTAATCTCCTCGGGTTTAGCAAGTGTCTTAAGTGGGACAGGTTCCTTCTTCTAAAAAGATAAATATTAAGGATTGTGTTTTATGTTATAAAATGCATGAAAAAAAATAATCTTTAGTGTAGTGTTGTGTACCTTCACCTCTTCGAGTTTATCAACGGGTGTTTTGGATTTCGCGATAGGTTCCTAAAAGTGAATAATAATCTTGTGTTCAAAGTGTTTGTTACTAATAGAATTACTATCAAAATAAGAACAAGTGATAGGCGAAAAATGTACCTTGGTCTCCTCGGGTTTACCGAGAGTTTTTGGTTTTGAGAGTTCTTGTATCTAAAAATGAATTGTGTCGTGTGAAGTCTTTGTGTTGTACGTGAAAATATCGATAAATAATGTGTTGTATTCGTTTTTATGTACCTTAGATTCTTCTACTTTGAGTGTGGGTTTGAGTTCCTCCTAAAATAAATGAAAGTGAACTTAACCTAATATTTGATGTTGTTCGTTTTTAACAAAGTATGTGTACAGCATGTAAATTGCACGTGTAATAAAATTATGCTCATTCTGTACCTTCTTTTCTTCCTTTCCAACAGTTTTAGCTTTAGCGACGACTTCATCCTTCTAAAAAAAAAAGTACAGAAACGATAAAATTTATTTCGCCAATTTGATTTTTTACGTTAATGCAAAACAATGTTAACAAAGGTTGATAAGAAACACGTTTATGCAAGTACCTTAGTTCCATTGGAAATATTATCCCTTTCTTTAGAATCTGACGTAGGTTCTTCATCCTGAATAATATTCATACGAGTAAATAAAACGAGTATAATAAATAAAAAATATAAAATAAACAAATGGAAGAACTGTAACAAATTCGCGAGATATTGTAAACTATCGTGCTCTTTATTCCCTGTACCTTAGACCCTTCTGTAGACTTTGTCGATGATCTACGTCTTGTAAGTGGTTCCTTTTTCTAAAATTGTAAATGGAGGAAAAAAATTATAAAAAAAAAAGACAAATGTAATATATCGCGTGTTCGAATAGCGTTAAATTGTTTTAAAAAAAATAATAAAAAAAATAAAATAATACCTTGCTCGCTTCGTCAAGTTTGCGAGAAGATTTTGGTTTCGCGTCTTCTTTCTAAAACGATCAAAATAATAATTGTAGTTTTTCCGTTGAACTATATGTTGTGATATGTTATGTGATAATGTTATATCTTATGCATGTATATATGTATGTATGTATGTACAAATGAATGTTATATATGTGTACCTTGCCTGTTCCAACTTTCTTACGAGTTTTTTTTAATTTCGGTTCAACTTTCTCCTAAAAAAAAATATACTTTTTATTTTAGTTCCAGCAAGGAAAACATGGACAGATATATTATATGATTATATTATTACTATTCTACCTCTACTTTATTAATCGCATCAACTAAAGGCGATTCCGATTTTTGTTTCAAAGTTTCGGATTTGTCATTTATTTCGATTAAATTTGATTTCCAAGTATCCTAAAAAATGTTTGAATAGTGAATATAATGAATATAAACAATAAGAGGGTGTTATAATTTTAAATTTTAAATTAATGACGCACATATGTATGTACTTCGGGTACTATGTACTCTGTCCGTGATAAATACATGAGAGTTCTTTGTGGAGGCTAAAATAATTATAGGCATATTGAAAATAAAGAAAGAATAATTGTTATGATTGAAATTTGAATTAAATAAATCGTGTACCTCTCTTAAAATTGACTTAATTTCTGGTTCTTGTGGTCTATCTGCCCAAATGTCCTATAAATTGTGCATTATATATATATATAAATTTTATTAATATTAATTTAACCAAAAAAAAAAAAAAAAAATACCTCTATATCATTGTCCAATTCTTCAATTTGCTTAGGTATAATTTTTGACACATCCTGTAAATGTATGTATGCAAAATAATAATATATAAATAAATCATGAATCTAAAATAATATATTAAATGTAACAAGATATCTAATGAAATTTAAATTTATAATAATCTATTTGTTTATTCGTTAATTTCAGGAATTATTATATTGAATTTAAATTCATTTTATAATAAAACAAAAATCTTTTAAACGAAATGATTATTGTATATTATAACAAAAATTAATAACAAATATACCTCGTTAGATTTAATCGATTCTCTTTTTTCTATACTTGATTGTGGTTCAATGGAAACCTAAAATTATTTTCGTATAATTGTTATGATTCAATTTATCGAAAATACGAAATTGAATGTATAATTGCATTTTATATTGTATACCTCGATATTTTTACTAGGTTTACTTGTACGTGGTGTAGATTCGTTTGATATAAATGCATCCTAAAATTATATTTTTATATAATAAATTTAATTAAAAAAAAAAAATTCATTCGTTATGTACCTCGTAATCATCAACCAATAATTCGTTACAATTGGTATTATCCGGTTGTAATTTTTCCTAAAAAAATTTTTGAGCGATAAAAAAATATAAAAAAAAAATTTTAATTTTGATAATGATAAAATATCAATTTTTCATGAAATGCACGTGTAATTAGAATATTTTGTACTTCGCGTATCCTACGATTATATCGTAATACAATTAAATTAAGTATTTTATAATAAAATGAAAATTTCAGAATTGTGAAACTAATATGTACCTCTCTTTTTATAATGGATCTTATTTCGGGTTCTCTTGGCACTGAAGCCCAAATATCCTATAAACGCGGTTTTTTATAAGTATTATGTCCTTGATTTTAATACGAAATTAAATATCTTTTTAATAAATCGTTTACCTCGATTTCATCATCAGGTTCAGGCTCATAATATTCAATATTATTTCTCGGTAAAATCTATAATGATAATGTGTATATTTTAATTGTATATATTTATTGAAACACTGAATATGAATTTAATGTGTATATTTAGTGTTTTGTGTACCTTCATGTGATGTGTTGGTGTTATTGTGGATCTAAATTTCGGGGTCTCTCTATCTACCTAAAAAATTGAAAATAATAATAAAAAAAAAAATTTATGAAATTTCTTCGTTGAAAAGAAATCGTAATTGAAAAGGAACAATAACTAAAAAACTAAAAAAATTACATCAAAAGAATAGCATTGAAATAAGATAAAAGTTACGACGAGGTTATTATTTAGATAGCGTGATATAGGTCAGTGATATACGTGAAGTAAGCGACTGCAGTCTACTATATCATTTAGAATAACTACTTTATTCGCATATATATAATGTAGATATTTATGTAGAAGCAATTCGCCTCGCTTCACGCTATTCCTTCTTTACAGAATTACAATGATAATTACGAACAAATTTTCATCAAATAGAACATTTATTGCGATTCTCTTGCCAAATTCAACGATTAATCGATACTATACGTATATAAGTCACACACAAAATTTATTTGTTAAATGTTACTATCCTTCTTGAGTCATTTGCAAGAAGGTTAGATTCACACATGATACTTACTGTTTCTATTCGTAAGAAAAAGATTATTTTCAAATTTAAATACTCGTAATAATTTTTAACACGTTAATAATAAAAATTGTACAGAGGATATATTAGAATTTTAAGTTTGTGGAAATTATGCACAACAAAGAAATGTGAAAAATGTTTTTTTTACCTTTTCGGTGATTACTTTTTTTTCAATGATGGAAGCTCGTCGGCTTTCGGTCTTGACTTCTTCGATCTGTTTAGTTATACATAAAAAAAAAAAACTGATAAGAACGATACATCTTCTTAAGATAAATGTAGATAAATGGCATATAGAAATGAATGTTATAAGAAATTCTAATTCAATTATTTTATGTTCTATGTTCATACTATGTTTTATGTTCATACAAGTCTATTTATTAAAAAAAATAAGTAGGAAATAACATAACCTTTTCATCAGTTGCTACCAAAGAACTTCTTCGACTTTCTGTTCGTAATTCCTCTACCTGTTAAAAAAAACAAAAGAAAGAAAACATTACGCAAACATACTTTTTCTTGCAAACATACTTTATAGACAATTTTAAATAATTGTTACTTACTTTGCTAATAGATTGTTTTCGAGATACAGTTTTTTCAGTTTTAAGCAGAGCTTCCTGAAATAAAAAAAAGTAAATGGTATAAATAGAAATATAAAGATTTAAACGATAATAAGAATAGGAAAAATTATACTTACTTCCTTCTTCTCTTCTTTCTTCGCAATTTTTTTCTGTGAAAATAAAATTATTCAATTTCCAATCTAATAATTAACAAACGTAACAAAGATTTCAAATTTGGATTAAAAATTATTACCTTTTCAACTTCCTTCTTTTCTTCGATTTTTTCTTCTGGTTTCTTCTACACAAAAATGAAACAATTTTAATTTTATCGATAATTAATGCACAAAAATAAATAATATAATGCATTCTCAACCTTACCATCTTTTTCCATTATAATTCAATGATTGTCATGTTGTTAAATAGATATACACTAAAAAATTGTTTTGAAAACCAAACTATATAGAATATAAAAGAAACATGCAGATAATAAAACGAAAAAGAGGAAGACAAGAATGGGATGAGAAGGTAGAGTTTTGAGGAAAATTTCATAGCCCAGCTTCTAAAGTAAAGTATTTTTTTAAAACTTAAGCATTATAGTGTGCGAAACAAATTAAAAATGTATAATTTATAATTGGTAAATAAGTTTAACTATTTCAATCTGAAACAAAAATAATATAAATCAATTTTCTTATAATCAATCTTAATACAAATCAATTTGAAATAATTAAAGCTGAAACATATTAAAGTTTATTAATTAAAGCTGCACGTGTTCATAAAGCTGTAAGGAAAGATCAATTCATTCGATAATAGCTGCAAATAAATTTTCCTATTGTAAACATGCGTTATCTCTTTCAATTTATTTTATTGAATTTATAAGCATTAAAAGCCATATGGAATAATCGTTCGCAACCATGATTTTGCAATGCAATTGAAAAGTCGATCTATAATTCGAGCGCATACTTTATTCGGATAATATTTTTGATATTCATTACTCACCTGTATGACTTCCAGTTTCTGAAACAAAAAAAAAAAAAACAATCATGTTTAATTCTTGATTACTTTGCGAATACTGCAGCGTATATTATAATGATTTTTAAGCAAATTTCCATATTATTTGTTTATATAAGACAAATACATGAAATAAGGGGACACATAACGTTCACAAATATAACTATACAAGGAATCACGTAGGGAAGCGCGTAAAAGGAAACAATATTTGTGATATTGTTGATATATTTTAAATGTTTACCGTGTGAATTAAAAGAATTTCACTCACTTTAATAAACGATAAAATAATCTTTTCACTTTTGTGAATCGAAATGAAAAAAAAAAGTAATCGTACCTTTTTAGGAGCAGATTTGTCGATACCGTTCGGTGTGTGGTCGGGTATATCCTTGAAAGTAGTTTAAAAAAAAGTGTTGATTAATTTAACAGTAAAATTAAATAAAAATTCTCTTGATTAAAAAAAAATTCAAAAAAATAACGAAATAAAAAAATAGTTCACACGAAAAGATATTCAGTGAGTGAAAATATATTCTATATGTTTGTGAAATATGTGTAACGTGTATGTGTATATGTGTACCTCTATTTGTGATATCGTTTCTGAATCTGGCTCTTCGATAATCGGCTCTGCGATGCTGGACTCGATTACACTCACCACTTCATCTTCCTCCTCCTCCTCCTCTTCCTCTTCTTCTTCCTCATCTTTTTCGAAAAGATTTTCTTTATCATGGTTCCGAATCGAGCTTTTTACCTTCGCATCGCAATATTGAAACGTATTTCAAAAGAGCCGAATTACCGTGTAAATGAGAAAAAAAAAATAATTATAAAAATAATTATCGCGAAAAGTCCCTCTTTCTATAAGTTTAACTTTAAGTGTTTATGCAAGTTTGTGTTCTTAAAAAAAGTGGATGAATATTAGTTATAGGCAGACAAAAGGATAGACAAATAACAAAAGAAAAAATATAATCTAGGAGAATTAGATCAATAGCGAATAATACATAACAATAACGTTCGCTACCTTTTCCTCTTTCTTTTCTTCCTTTTTCTCTTCTTTCTTTTCTACCTTCTTTTCTTCCTTTTTCTCCTCTTTCTTTTCTATCTTCTTTTCCTCCTTTTTCTCTTCCTCTTTCTTTTCAACCTTCTTCTTTTTCTCTTCTTTTTCCTCTTCCTCTTTCTTTTCTTCTTTTTTCTACAATATGGACAAGGAATTGCATGCAACATTCAAGGAGAGATATTTATTTAACCGTTATGAATTTAATATCGGAAGGAATATCATTTTATATGTACGAATAGGGGATGAACAAATCTAAACAAAGATCGTTTTACTTAAATACACGGTATAACGACATTGATATATATATATAGAGAGAGAGAGACAAATATTTGATCATTTTCTAATTTCTTTTCTTACCTTGACAACCAATCGTGCCGACGATTCATCTTGACCATATTCGTTACTAACGACTACTTTGTACGTTCCAGAATACGAAGTGGAAGCAGATGTGATCGACAATTTCATATCTATACCATTGAAAGATATCATGACGTCTTTGGAAGCTTTGACCACCGTGGAATCTCTGAAAGAAAAGGAAATAAATGTATTGTAAACGATTCGAGATTAAACAATAATCGCGAGTTGGAATAATATATTTACCTGTACCATGTGATGGTAACTTTACGATCCTGTTTGGAGAGACTGGCGATAAGTTCGATCGATTTACCTTCCTCGATCGTCTAAAAACAAAAATATTAATCATTATGGTAACGATTAATCGTTCAAAAGGTGGAAGAAGAATATATGTAATTACCGCTGACTTCAAACCGGATATAATCTTAGGTTTCTCGCCTTCCTCCATTATTTCCGTAACTTCTACAACTTGGGACGTTGCCTCACCTTTTTCGTTACGAGCCACTAGTTTATATATACCTTTGTCAGAGGCTGACACTTGTTCGATTTCTAACTTGACAGCAAATTCTCCCTAAAAGCATAAATTCAGTTTCTTCTTCTTTTTTTTTTTTTAAATTCACCTTTTTATCGGTTTTTTTGAATCTACAGAAAGAGACGCACCTCTTTTACTTGCTCGACGTGAACTTTGTGCCTGTTATCCGCCTTCACAGCTTTTGTCTCTTTGAACCAAGTGCATTCCGGCGTAAATTTGGAAAGCACGTGACACTCGACTATGACCGTTCTCTTCTTCACGATCTTCACGACCTTTGGTTTTTCCTTGATCACGGGTATAACTAAAACAGAAGGATATTCAAATGGATATTCGAAGTGAATGATTCCAGATTTATAAGAAAATTCGAAACTCACTTTCAACGTTGAGCGTTAGATTGGCATTCAATTCGCCAAGAGCGTTTTTGATGTTACACTTGTATAAACCTGAATCTTCGGCACCTGGATCGTTCAATGTCAATTTGATATAATAGATATCTTGCTTCTCTTGAACAATACTGATCGAAATTTTGGAAGACTCCTTCACTATCTTGCCGGCATGAGTCCACACGATTTCAGGTTTCGGATTCGCCTTCACCTTGCAATCCATGATCACTAGTTTACCCTGATTTTGAGACTGTATCCGCGGTTTCTCGACGAAAGTTGGACCGTCTCCTTCCGGCTCTGGTTCCGCCTCGATGTTCAAGTTCAAATTCGCATTGCTTTCACCGTACTCGTTTTTCACGTGACATCTGTAAGTGCCACCATCAGGCGCCGAAGGATCCTGCCACATAATTATCATAATC